CGGCGCCGAGGAGCCACCAGCCAAGAAGCAGAAACAGGAGGAAGAGGAGGACCGCGAGGAAGAGGAGGAGGAAGAGGAGGAGACGGAGGCCAAGGCCGGGGAGACGGAGGAGGAAGAGGAGGAGGAGCAGGAGGCGGGGCCAAGCTGTGACATCACTGAAGGCGCCACAGTGGAGAAAAAAGACTCGGCAGAGAAACTTCCAGAAAGTTCAGACGACACGAAACCAGAGGTGAGTCCAGGTTCTGACCCGGTAACAGACCAGAACCGGCTATCCGTGTTCTGGTCTCGTTTCTGTTGGTCCCTCTGAGGTTCTGGATGTTCTCCAGCCGGTTCTGACCCGGTAGCATGTCGGACCCGGGTTCTGACTGGGGATGCAAACAATTAATGGACTTACAATCAATGATCGATCGACGGTTCGTTGGATCACAACGAGTCCTATCGATTACCAAATGATGTCCCTTAGAGCAGTGGTCCCCGGGCCGTGGACCGGTACCGGTCCATGGACTAATTGGTACCGGGCCACACAAGAAATAATGAAATATTTCTGTTTTATGTATTATTTGAGTCTGGAGGATCTTTTACTTTGAAAATCCTTTAACCGGATTGTTTGCCAACATTCAGCCACAAGCAGCAAAATGAGCAAGAAGCAGATCAGAGATGTTTGGATCATCTGGGACCGACCAGAAGGGAAAAGGCCCGGAGAGGGAGGACGGACTCATCCCGGTCGCTCGGTGGTTCCCACATCGACCTGCTTCCCGCCTTGAGCAGCACTTGGCGTGTCGCCGTCTCCTAGCAGAGAAACGGCTCAGGGTTCCCACTGATTTGTCTTTATCGAGTTAAAATGTTTGTTTTTGTGGCGCATCTTATTTTGAAGGTGTAAACGTTACCATAGCAACCAGAGTCAGAGAGGAGAGGAGCTTATGAGTCTGGTTCACACGGCACGATTTTCCAGACCTCTGCGACCACAGAGCCGATAAAAGTGCAGCAGGTTGGATGGGTCGGTGTGCCGATCCACACGCCACAGGAACCGGTTCCACTCAGGAACATTTCCACAGGAAAATCCCGTTAAACCTCCGGCACCAAACAGGAATTTAGAATAAACACGGATGACGACGTAGAAACAGAAGTGATAGTTGAATATCAGCTTCTCAGTTATTGTTAATCAAAAACTACTTGCATCCTTGGTTCTGACCCGTTGGGTTCTGGAAGAACCCAGGCCAGTTTAAGGACTGTCTGCAGTCTCCATAGAGACTCCTGCGCGCCCATTCTGGACCAAAGTGGTTCTGATCTCATGGGTCAGCCTGAATGGACCAATCAGAAGCTGTTTTACTGGAGCTCTGGGGAAAGGTTTCTCCAGAACCCAGGTCCAAATCAGTCTTCTGGACCCGGCTTTTACTGAAGCTTTGGATCATCTGGAACCGACCAAAACCTCCGACCCGTTTCACCAGCTTCACTTTGTTCTGCAGGAGGACATGGAGACGTCGACCAATCAGAACGGACAGACAGAGGCCCCGCCCCCTGCTGAGCCCAGTGTGGCGGCTCTCCCGCCCTACGACCCCGACAACCCCGTCGGTAAGTGCCCTGAAGTTGTTGCCATGGTTACAGACATGAGGTTAGAATGCTGCGCTGTGATTGGCTGTCCAGGCGTGGAGCATGTGAAGATGGGATACTACTGCCGCCTCTGCTTCCTGTTTTACTCCAATGAGGAAAAAGCCAAGAAGGCGCACTGCAGCAGCCAGGCGCACTACGACAAGCTGCAGGTGAGCTGGCCCCGCCCACACAGGTAGCCTAGATCAGTGGTCCCCAACCCCCGGTCCGTGGACCAATTGGTACCGGGCCGCGCAAG